TAAATTTAATTTTAATTATAATGATATTTAATTATGACCATAACAACTTTCTCTTAATTAAGGTGGCATAATATATAATATGACGAGATGTCCAGAAAGTACGAGGTAATTATTGTCTTGCTACAAATAGGCCACACCCCCATGACACAAGGATACCTCATGGCCAAAGAAGACCCATCCTTCATGCCCTACGTGCAGGACACTCATTACGGTCAAGCATAAACTTCTCGAATGTTGCCAGTTCAATGAAATTGGCATCAAACTGGAACTACCGGAGACCTTATATGAAATACTTACACAGTTACACCCACTCCCGAGACGTCCAAAAAAATAATCAATTTCATCGACAAAACAGAACTGCGACATCTCATTTAAAATTATTAGGTATCTAAGAAAACAATGTACATATATAAATATATATAGTAGTAATTAAGTAATTTAGTGCAGTTTAATGTATTGTAAATTCTTTCTTTAAAAAAAATATACATTATAAATATAAATACAATATACTATTTTCAGCAAATGATAATGTTTATATTATATTGCTTCTAGGATAAATTATTCGTTAGTTTACTTCTATAGATAATTAAGATTTGGATAGGCTATTGGGTTATATGTTATTTTCAGAATTGATAAATTTATTCAGCACATTGTACATCACTGAATAATTGTGGTCTATTATTTGATTTTGAATGCATAAAACTTAGTAAAGGTGGATATACTTTGGAAAAAAAACAAGGTTATTGCAGTTTTCCCTCAGTAGGTTATTCATAATATTATAGTAAAATATTTTATTTTGTCAAATGTCTTTTAATATTCTAGTTAAGTACGTTGTTTATTGGAAGAAATGTAAAGATATGGCAATAAAAATTTCAAACCGATATTTTATTATACCTTTTATAAACATATATTACAAGTGACCGGTATTAATCAAATTTCATCGAATATATGTTTCAAAGTAAATTTTTTCTTGAATTTGGGAAAATTATAAAACAAAATAGTATTTTTTTTACGATATAAAATAATAATTTATATCAGTTATATTGATTGTATAAAAGTATAAAACTAGAACTACTTGAATCAAACTATAATCAAATATAATGTATGAAAAGTTTTAGCAATGTATTCATATCAAATATATATTATAATTATAAATAGCGATTTAGTACGGTTAATTATAAAATACAAATTGTATAAACTGATAAAATGATATTAGTGTTATAAAGATTCCTAAAACACAGTAAATTCATTTTCAATAAGTTAAAATATTAAAAATATTACTATAGGTAGTTAAAGTAAAAAATAATAATTTATTTCAAAAAATATTGTTAAATCATACAATATTATTATTATTTTTAACTACATAATAACTTTTTTAATAGTGTTTAGCAAATTAGCATATTCACGTCTACGTTTAGTCTAAAATCAGAATTTGAATAAATGAATTATCAAAGAAAAATGGTGATGAGCATGCTCGGTGAATAACCTCGTAAAAAACATAAGCTATGGAGTTAACTAAAAAATATATAAGCCAGCTACATCTGCTACAAGATATATATAAAAATGGTAATTCTGTTTTTTCACTATTTGACTTTTTATTTATTTATCGCGTCGTTGATTTTAATACAGATTTTATAAAAAAAGATCTAAAATTAAAAGAGCTAGGAATGTAGAGCACATTCATTCTTCGGCCATTTACAATCTAGTGATATTTGACACAGCTTTAGAGTTTAGGTACTTGTCAGATCGAAACAAAACGTGTTTAATTATTTCAATTCAAAAACCATACAATAATTTCTAGGTATAATATAACATAATCTTCGTTACTTTTAATAAAAATTTAAAACTTGTAACACCTACGTCCTACATATGTTCATACTAATGTATGTATCATGATGATATGATAAGATAAATTAGCTATATTTTTTAAGCTAATTTATCACAATTGAAATAAATGAGACAAACAAGTTAATTTTACACCTATACCTACATTGGTTTCTAATGTTTAAATAAAAACATTATTATGTTACCGTTTATTTAATAGGTAACATATTATTATTTTGTTTTTTTGTTGTATTTTGTTAAGATATTACGAATTATTACAGAAGTTTTTTAATTAAATATTTTAATATCTACTTTTGAATGATAATATATTCACAGAAAACATATTTTATTCTGATGAATATTTTACATGTATATTTTGTTTTGGAGAAGTCGTAAAGCATAGTTCTAAGTAAGAAACATATAATTTCTTTATATGCAAGTAGTTTTTTAATATTTAATACCAATGTTGAATGGATGATACAAAATAAATAAGAAAATTACTTTTAGGGTTTGAGTCTTATTAAAGGATTCGCTCTTTTTTTGGTTGATTTCAAAAATGAAATGACAAATGAAAATGTACTTTTTAGATGATTTGAGTGGATTTTTTTTAAAATGCTTCTTCGTAGGTCTAACGTATTTTTTTTCATGCTTTCTTCTTTGAGAGCAGTTGATAGCCAGTAGCCACTGATAAAAATCCGATTTTGTTTTCCCAATGTGTGTTACGATAGATTGTTGCCTTATTGTACTTTACATATTATATTCAATTTTAAAGAATTTTATAATGTAGCTTAAGTTTTCTTACAATAACATTTCAATGTCCGTTTTAATAAATTGCAGTCAAAATAAATTAAAATGTAAAACCTAATGTTTTTGAGAATTTCTGAACCTAACGATACTACGTTTTGTCCACAAAAATACGCTCTACAGGAATAATGATCCTGTTCTGTAAATTCAAACGATGACATGTTGATTGCAACAGTCGTGCTGCAACGCTGTTTTATTTTGGTTCTATTCCTGGACTTGTCAGAGGGGAAGAATGATCAGGTCTCTGTTGTCGACGGCAGTATCTGAAGATTGCCTCTTCTTGAAAAATCCTATATATGACTGCACCAGTTGTATATGCGGCCTGCCAGCGATCCAGATATTGGTGGTTTTTATTAAATAATTGTAAACGATTTCCAACTGCAAACAAATTGATAGTTTACTTGAACTTAGCAAAAATTATAAAAGTTCAGAAGTTATGTCGGTGTGAACGGTGTGCTTGTACTCAGGTCTCAACCGCTATGATACATCTGGTTTTGCTGCACTTTAGACTACCTTATAAGTGATTTCTGAACTGTTGTCTTGGACAGGATAGTATATTTTGCAGGTGTCTTGGGGGTGTGGTCGTCACGTGGCATTGATAAAACGTGCGCGTGGCAGCTTAACTGATGGGAATTTTTCACTTGTTCTTGCATCTTAGCATAAATATTGTACAAGGTTATTACTTTTTAGTTTTTATCAAGTGCATATTATTTATTCTATGAATTCATTATAATTGATTTATGAATTCATAGAACCATAGCCCATAACACTCGATTAAAATACATCGATGAAACATTCGTATCAAACTATCAAACAATTCATAAGTATTAGTGCACAGTACACTAATGTTACATGTACCTACTATCATGTACGTTAGTAAAAATGTCAATGTTTTTTTTTTGTGACAGTTGTTTTTACTTCTTAGGGTTTTTTTAGGGAGGGGGGGGAGAACTCGTGGTCTTATTTTGTCTATAGTCTTACTAGAATTGTATAAGTATTTTGAAATCGATATTCAGGAAAGCTGTAGCGTATTTCATTGTTTGATTTTCATGATTTCCAACAGGATTGTTTTCTTTAGTCAATTGTCAATAAATGTTAGTTGTATTGAATGATTTTTACTTCTTATAAGATCGGCGATGTTAAAAAGATAAGTTTCTAGTCTTTTGATGTTTGAATAGTATCTAATTATGATACATAATATATAGGATTTGTGTGGAATGTTTCAATGGAGATGGTAACACTACCGTTGTGGTAATTTTGTTTATTTCTAACAGTTTCGTTATTAACTTCTTTATTTTTTATGGTACACTATAACAAAGTTAAGACTTGATCGAGGGTTCATTTTTATGATAATTTATATTTCCCTTAATTTTTAACATTTAATTTGGCATTTCGTCAAAAATATATTAAATGTAAAAATCATCCATATTCCATACATATTTATGGACGTTGAAAATTATCAATCAAACAGTACCACGTTGTGTAATATGTAAAAATAACTATTTCATTAGAAACCTTTTCTGTAGTACAGATATTTTAGTATAAATAAATGTATACATAAGAAGACTCATACACGCAAAATTAATGTAGATACTTTCACATAAGAAAAAATATTACGAGCATTTTAGACCCCAGAGTAGGCACTTTCTATAATAAGATTTTAAAAAAACCTAATTTTCAATTTAAGTTTTCTAAATAATTACGAATAATTTTTGACACATAAAATTAACATAACATTCAAGATAAAGTAATTAAAAGATTATTAGTCACTAATAATTTTTGGCATTTAAAATAATCTCAACGTTTTTCAGCGTCACTCAACTTTGATCATCATCTACTAGTTAAATCCATTAGCATTAATATCATACGTTATGGCAACAGCAAAATATTATTATTCATTTTGTTACTTTACAAGGAACAAGCACCCATATTTATCATAATCGTATATTTTAAAACTGTATGAAAAAATTTAATAAGTAAAAATTAATTATTCATGAAAGTGTATGTTTTTAAATATGGAAATTATTATCGTATTTATTGCAAAAAATACATCAAAAAATGTACACACTATAGAGTGTAGTTATTATTTTTTAGAAAAAACTAAACATTAGGTTTTTTTTTAAAGATTTTACCAAATAAATTCATTAATTTAAAAATAAAAATATATTAATTGCTATATCTACCTGCAAATTACTTTACCACGGCAACAAACATTGGCGAGTGAAACACATATTTTGTAAACAGTTTTTCAACGGTTCATCTGTGTAACAAGTATTGGACAAACTTCAGTATACTGAATAATAGTTATTACAGTACTAATTTTAAGTTTAAATAGTAATTTAGTTTTCAATTTAACAAGTTTATCAAACACCATGAGTAATAGTTTAATAAAAGCAAATACTTCAATGGCCCTTGGTCAATACAACAGTGCCATAAAGTATTTCAAAGAATATATGGACGAAAATCCTCATATTCCATTCAACAAAGAAGTATTTAACCTGTTATCTGAAGCATACAATAATTTATCGAATGATAAGCGTAATTGTATACGTGAGTTAGAAGCATACCTGGAATCACTCCTAGACACCGATCGGGAACGCGTCGCAGCTATCACTTCATTGTTGGATGAAACCAAAAACGATTTAATTTCCCTCTGTACCGAAGTCGTTTACATCATAGACAAAAATTTACTCTCTAAGGTGGAAGGAGTTCGAGAAAAAGTGTTAATTTATAATATGAAAGGCGTTTACTATCGGTAAATCTTGTAGTTTTTGTTGTAATTTAATAATCACATAGGTGCTAAATGAAAAATATCGTTTTAATTCGATTGTGTTTCACATTTAAATACATTTAAGTTCTACAAAAACAATAGTTTTGTTAAACAGATGAAGAATTTTTTTAAAACATTCCTTTAAATAGTCATAAAATATAACCTTTTTCAAAATTAAAAGTTTATAATAATAGCCAATATAATATTATAGTGTTGAATGATAAAATTGATATGTTCAATATTATTAATCTTCTAGAGTTGCATAACTTATGTTTAAAATGTAAAACAAAATGTAATATAATCCATGTTATTCGAAAGTTATTTATAATGATTCAAATTCGATGGTGTTAAAAATATGAATGCTTAAAATTTACATAAAAAATATAATACTCATTCGATTTAAATTTATTTACAAATTTTACATAATGTATCTTTATTTTAGGTACATGTGGGAAGCCAATAATAGTGACGCAACTTGCAAAGAAGCGACTAAAGCATATGAAGAAGCGATGTGTTTATGTCAATGGAATTTTAAACCAGCAGATCCTTACTTATTGCAAATTGCATTAAACTTAACGACACACTTGAACAATACTAATGATACCGAAATGGCTCGAGTTATTTTAAATAGAGTTATTCAAAACACACAAGAGGATAATCTTGAAAACTATGACTTCTTAAAGAAGTCATATGTTGAGTTATTTTTGAGATACTTAAATGAACGTTTAGTTCGGTTTCAGATAATCGTCAGACAAAAACAAATAAAAATAATTGAACTTATCGAAGATCGTATTCCTCGAGAGTTTGACGATACAATTATTACAAGACAACGAGGTTGATATTATTTCACTGATATTTTAAAAACATTTTATTAACATTTCAATTTTTATCAACAATATTCAAATTTATGATCTATTTTTCTTAACAGTGAAATTAATAATTCATTGAATATTTATTTTCCAATCGTGTGGTTGATACAAGCTCTATTGGCATAATAAGAAAATAATAACTATTATTATTGTTTACTGTGTATACTTTTGGAAATAAACAACTAATAAATGTAACATTCAAGTTTTTAAAAGTATTTTTATAGCTAGTTTTTTAAACTTATAATATAATATTTTAAGAAATCTAAACTAAATTCTAGAACCACCTAAATTACGCCAGATTTACTTAATATTAGTAGAGTCAATAATCCCCAATAGTGTAATAGGTTGAGGTGGTGCATTTTATAACTATTTAACTAAAATATGCCAAAATCAAATAATTAGAATACTCCTCGATAAAGAACGAACGTATTCTACAGGGAATTTGTATGAAAAACTAAACGTGCTTTTAAAAAAAAATTACCTGAGAATTAATACTATATATTTAAAAACCTACAATTTATTACAACCAATATTACACGGAGTAAATACAAGATAAGCACAAAACAATTTCATCATAAATAGATAAAAAAAAAAACAAAATCTTGTATACATTTTGACATAATTGGAACCAAACCTTGTAACAAAGTACCATCCCATATACTAAACTTCCTCATCAATTTATTAAAAAAAAAAACATTCTGTAATGGTTATTACTTATTAGAATCTGATGATGAATTAATAATATTATAGAAATAATATTGTATTAATTTAACTCTATCAACGCATAATAATTTAATTTTAATCATGTATACACAACAGAATTGTTATTTTTGTTTGTTTGTTTTTTTCTTTTTTGACAATTATATTATTTGTTTTAGAAGTGGGAACTCCTGGACCCTCCTCACACGAGTTTTCTCAGTGGGACCTAATATTCATATGCATATAAATTTAAATAAATAAAATAAATGTTTACATAAGCATAAGCATAAGCTTACAGGAAATAGATGAATCAATTTAATGCTTTATTGAATATTTAATTCTGTGCAAATATTTTTTTGATATAAAAAAAATATATATATTCACCAAAATGGCAAGTATGGCTGTATATAGAGATCCGACATATTTTGAAACACTCCTTTAGAAAAAAAGATGTATTATAATTAATGTTATTATAATCGTTATAATTCACGTAATCACGCATCATTTTCACAATTTACAGTACATAGTTTATATTAAAATTAGAACTCTTATATAAGAAAAACTATTTTATGATTATCAGAATTCATAGATACTTTTGGTATAATAATAATTAAATACGATGATATTATATGTAATTTTGGATCTTCTATTTTTATAGAATGAAATTAATATGAACCATACTAAACATGAAATGTTGAGCCACTTATAATCTGTAAGAGTAGGTATGGAACTATGGACTATTATATGCGAATTCCATGTATGATCAACTCATGGAATGTTGTACTTTGTTTATTAATTTAATGTTAATAGAATTAAATGGAATAGTCTTTACAATAATAAATCAGAAAATTATCAAAATTTCAAACAATTTCCATCACAACATCAAAAATACATCATTTTAGTCAGTTATTTACTTAATCCTGTTAAAAAAATAATAAATAATATACAAAAACGACCTATTTATGGTACCATCTTTCTTCATTTTTTGGGCAGTACATTTATTCAAAACCTTTGGAATATTTCTTTCCCAGCAAAACTTATAGATAAATAAAGAAATAAAATATTAACATAATTTTAAAAACACTAGTTCCTTGTTTCAAACAGAAATTTAAACAATATTTGTTAATAATGTATTCATCGTCAACTTTAAATAAAATCTGAAATTTTGAACAAAGAAATTCGAAACAAATGAAAATAAAACTTCTAAAACGCGGCCGCATTTATTTGCCATTTTGACGGTATGGTAAAACAACATCTACAACAAAAACAAATTATATATTTTTTTCGCCATTGAACTATAGCACCAAACACAATTTTTATGACATTGATTTTAACACCCACTCATAATACAAAAAATATCAACGATGAGCAAAATGTGGGTATGAAACGTTTCGCAGATCAAAATATACAATCGAATCATACCATAAAATAAATGAAATATGAAATGGCAAGTCTGTAATTCACAAAGAAAACTTATTGCATTGTTTTTACATATGTTCAATTTTTGTTGCGCAAAAAAATTATTTATTTTACTGTGTTTTATGCAACAAAAATAAATATATTTGATTGAGAAATGTCGGTCACATGGTAGTATGATATCTAAAAAAAACTGCTATATTATAGAAAAATACTTAAAAAATACTACAAGAAAAATAGAAGTAATATTAAAGTTATATAAATAGTGTCATTATTTTAAGTTCGATAAAAGTATCATGTATATACTTTGCTAACTAATACAATTTTTTTAAGCTTACATATATAAGAGATTTTTAGTTCTGGTAAAACTATATATTTCAGAATTAGGTACATTGCTGTTTGTTAGTCATTAAAATACAAAGATATTTTAAAAATATAATTGGCACACGCATCACAAAACTTTTTAATTGGAATTATGGTGTCAACATTTCAAGTACTTTAATTCTCTAAGATTTTTGTTTTCATTTCGCAAGTCAAAGTTCTATTGTGTTGTTATTATGTCGTACTACAAGTTTATAACTCAACTATATAATTGAGAGTTTTTACTTGTTGAAACCTCAAATTATAATTGTGTATGCATATTTCAATTAACGGAAAAGAAGATTTTATTCTCGTATACATACACTAAAGTGTGATCATTTTAGTATTCGTGACTAAAATTCAATTTTAAAGAGTCTTTGTGGTTGTCTTCGAATTTCCCTTGATTTTGTTTTTGTTGGTGTGTTTTAATGTGGATTTTAAGAAGATACATATTGTGTGGGGAACTGTAATTTAATGGCATTTAACTAATTTGCATGTAAATATTTGTATTACAAAAAAATTAGTAATTGAGTAGTAATAAGTATTGCAATCTTAAGAACTATATACATTGAACGGACAGTAGTCTGCAATAAATATATAATGGCAATGGTAAATAGTTTTGCACTTAAGTCTTGTAGCCTTTATGCGACGTCAGTTTTTTTTCTTTTTTGCAGTTTCAGTAACGAGCCGTAACTCCTAGAAGGGTAGGCTTAAACAAACAATGAAAAGAAGAGTGAAGTATTAAAAAGGTTTCCGTTTATTATTATAAACTAAAAATCTCCAGCAAGAAAACGTGCTTTTTGTCGTCTTCGGCGACGACCGGTTTATAATTATATACAAAAAGATTGTGGACGTGCTTGCGTGTCGAAAGTCGGCCGACGAGAGAACGAGGAGAGTGAGCAGTGCTGCTAAGCTTGGTTAGAACATTGGCCGATAAGGGAGAGAGGAAATTACCTAAGTTTCATTAAAAAAAAGGACACTATTAAGAGTCAGCGCACAATCATTCTCCGTTTTTTTTTTTTTTGGTGGGGGTACTTGTAAATTGTGCATTTCTTTGACGTGTTCCTGGTCTAAATAGGGAGTAGGGACTCTGCAAAATATTTATAGAAATATTTAACAGTACTAAATTTTTAGACTCAACGTTTTTTTTTATAGGCCTAAAAGTCATTCATCATGGGACATAATACAGCTAGCAATAATGGTAACACACTAAAATTTAAGAACATGGTTGATAATACAAAATCGATAATATGATAGTATGGGACATGGTCTCTAGCTACAATTGTATAGACGAGTAGTGATCAATTTATAGGACGATAATAGACAGCATGGGAAAATTTATAATGTGCACAAATATATGCAGCATGTATAATTTTAACTGTATGCGATATATTATTATACAATTATTTGTATTTAATAATTTGTATTGTTAGTTTTAATGTATATAATAAAATAATATTTATTTATGTTATTACTAGCTGCCCGACCTTCCTCCGGAAGAAATAATTTTTTTATAATTTAATTTAAAAACATAAGACTATTTTTTGGCTATACAAATAATACAACGATTATAAAATTTAAAAAAGAAACGACATCGTTATCGGTGAATATTATAAAAAAATTGGTAATTAGTTAATTATTATTATTATTATTATTATAATGAGGGTTCAAAACTGGTTTCCTTCGTCTCCAAAATCAAGTTAGATTCTTATATATATAGATTACTACTTATGGAAAATATTTGTATCAGACTATTGAGATGTAATGGCCAAAATATAAAATTACAATTTTGAATTATTTTTACTTAACATATGCCTAATTTAATATTATATATATTTAATTACCTAACCAATTTGTATTTCCTTTCTGTTGGCATACTAATAATTGATTAACATGAATGTATTGTTTAAAATGATAAATACATTGGTTAATTCATTTAGTCAATCAAGTTCACAAAAGTCCATAGAAGCGTTTTCAAAATAAATTAAAATAGATTTTTGAGTTCAAACTATATTTAAAAAAATTTTTAGTTCACCCACATAAGTAAATAATTTTCTATCGGGTAATAGTGCTTGTTTGTGATTGATACAAGTCTATCATATTTTAATACATGTATTGTATAGAATTGATTAAATATAGCTGGAAAGTACCACCATATATCTATATATTCCAATCTATATTTAATACTTTTATTATTAGTATAATTTTTTCCCTGCTCCAAAATCGATATCTCTTGTTCTTTCCATATCTCCACTAATATCCGTCTTCTTATAATAGTTATGTGTAATTAAAAATAACAAAGAATTGACGTAGATGAAGAAAACATAACAGTTCATGTCAGTGTTTATGAAGTCGTTGCTATTATATGATTTGATGTAGAACGTAGGTATAATTTAACCGATACTGGAGGTTATATTAATACACCTAAGTACTTAAATTCATTAATTATATAGACTTAAAGATGTTTAACTATATTGATCCGGTAAAATATTATA